AGAATATATAATGAACCCTAACAGTCATGGGATTGTCACATGAATGTGACACGTGAAGTGTTTATATTGTACAAGTATGTATACAACCAAATGTGTTAAATGTTTTATAGTTTTGTTCATTTTTTTCACCCATGACTAGCCAAACATTTCACTTGGGTAAGTGTTGATTATCAATATCCATGCCTAATGCACCTAACAGCCAGCTGCCGTTACTGTGTACGAGCGCTTGAAAACAAACGTTCTACTGTCCTGCTGAGTAGATGTGATCCAGTTCACATTTAGGTTCTCTGAGATTCAACTAATTAGAAGAGCAATAGGAAGTCGTTTAGCCACTTAGTTCTGTATTGAGATGCTCTGTTGTGGGCTTAAAGGACTATTACGTGCAGGACTGTGGCCTCTGTGGAGGCCATGAGTGTGCAGCTGTCATAAAATACTCACTGTAGTCCTACATGAGCAGCATTTTTTTAAATAAACATTCTTGAGGTTTTCATGTGGAGCCTCTGATTACACGTGATCAACAATTACCCTTTTCCCCCCTTTTAAAGCTGAAATTTTGATCATCATTATATTATATTAACCAGTTTTACCCAGAGAAAACTGTAACTTCTACATAAGGATAGTTCAGCTTCTCTGAATGAGTCTCAGGTGGAATTTCTGTCAATGAAGAAGAAAGTCTGATAGACAGATGCTGTTTGTTCTCTTTAGACAAAGAGGTGGAATTTGTCATAGTCATGAACTAAAGAGGAGCCTGTGGCTCATCCATACTCACCAGATGTCCAGTCTTAAACTGATCTGTGATATCCCTCCATAGAGACAGCCCAGCTGCTTGTGATTGTGTCTGATGGTCGGGGGCTCTTCCTGGAGGGAAAGGAGCGGGTAATGGCCGCTGTGCGTGCAGCACGCAGCGCTGGTATCTTCATCATCTTCATGGTGCTGGACAATCCGAACTCCCGGGTACGAGACCAGAATGTGATTGTTGGGTATTTTCCAAAGTTTAAGTCTCAAATCGTAACTAAACCTCGATACTGTGCTGCAGGATTCCATTCTAGACATCAAGGTGCCCATCTTCAAAGGGCCAGGAGAGCTGCCAGAGATCCACTCCTACATGGATGAGTTTCCCTTTCCCTTCTACGTGATCCTGCGAGACATCAACGCCTTGCCAGCAACGCTCAGCGACGCACTCAGGCAGTGGTTTGAACTTGTCACTGTGGCTGAGCAGTAGGCTGATGAGGAGCCATCTTTTTACAGGAAAGAGGGAAATGGGCAGCAGCCACCGAAAAATGCCAGTCTGCTGCTAGCCTGTCAGAGATCAGAGACTGAGCTGTAAATGTGCCTTTATTTTCTTATTATTACTGTAGGTTCTAGTCGAGTTGGATAGCAAGTGTTGCTGTTTTGTCTGCATCAGGGGAATTTGGTGTCTTTTGTAATGTAAAAGGATTGCTTTAACTTGCACGTCTGAAATTAAATAACAGAAACAAAAATGTGATTTCCATGTGCGTGAAATACCGTAGTTAAGCATCAATAAATACCTCTGCCCCTGTATGATAGCCCTGTTTTACATTTGTTTGAATGTTTAGTCAGTGTTATGAAGATCAAAAAATTATCTTCACCCTGAGCACAACAGCAGGACTGAGCTTTGTATAATAGAAGCCTTTTTCAAGGCTAAACTGAACAGTAGCATGCCGTAGCTGATACTGAAGGAACTCAAACATGTGCCTTGGAAAGAACAGCACTGCATCTCATGTCACACCTCAAGTAGCAGGTGACAGATCAGGATTTTTACTAGTTTGTTTCAGTCATGTACTGTGAAGCACAGCAGCTGCAGAGTCCGCTTTTTATAAAGGCCTGTGGGAGAACCCATCTTTGTGCTTTAGAAACACTTCAGCTGTGTTCATCTTCCCTTTGTAGTGTGACACAGCTGACTGTCTGTGGAAACATGTTCATGATGTGTACTGAAATGTGTGTTCTTTAATGTGGACATACATGTAGACATGTTTAACGAGTTAATTGCATCTGTCTATTAAATCATGAGATGAACAAGATCCCACTGTCTGTGACTCACTTGTTTTAAAAGCCACAGAGAAGAGAACCACCCAAACCTTGAACCTCGTTTTAACAGAGATTCAGCAGTCGAAGAATCCTGAGCTATTGGAGAATTCCACAAATCAAAGATGATGGAAGACTGTTGACTTTTTCTTCAAAAAAGAAAAATCCCCAAATATGTTCTAACCTCCTAGGACCTGGCGTCCACAATTGTGGACATCACATTTTGGGTTATTTAGACCAAAATACTCAATTTTGCTCTACAAGGACCTGATATCCACTTACGAGGACATTACACTGCTACATTTCTATCAAAATTTTAAACGAATATCCTCATATGTGGCTCTTATTTTTCTTAGAAACAAAAAAAAGGTAAAAAAAAAATTAATCTGCTAATTCTTTGTTTTTACATTCATCGGGTCCCAATATGCCCAAATATCAAAGAGCAATTAAAAATACATGCTGTGGAAGAGTTCGGGTCTTAGGAGGTTAAGATTGCTATCACGGCCCACGTCACCCCTACTATATTGACGTGAAGAAGTACAATGCAATTTGGCCCTTGAAGTTACATTTTTCTTTTAGGGAGCTTTGTTTGTTGTTGAGTGCAATATTAAAATAAGTTCTTTTAAAAGCAAAAATTATTTAATATGAAGGCAATATGAGCAGAGAATACAAACAAGCTGATGGAACAAGTAGAACAAGTTGTGGCACATTTCTGGGAAACCTCGCAAAAATGGTACAAGCAAAACTGTCAAGAGCATCTCTGCACTGAGTAATGCACACCATCTTTTGCATTACTTTTTGCCTTCCTTAAGTACTGTTTAGAAGTCTGGGGAAATACATACTTCAACCTTTATGTAAACTTTATGTAAACTTCAGAAAAGAACAACTGAAATAATTAAGCATGATTTACAGACCACACACTAAAACTATTTTTGTAGTCAAAAATCTTGAAATCTTAAATTCAAGAACAGTTAATGTGTTAAACAGTTAATCTTAAAATTAATCTTAAAATATAAAGCACACAAATTATGTATAATGATAATAAAGTAATATGTTGCCAGGAAGCGTATCGACACAGAAGGGGGCGATAATCTGATGACATTTTGTATTTCCATTTATTAAAACTGTGGATGGACCCGTTCAACCATTATTCAGTTTAAAAAAAACAAACTGGAACGTGCTTTTGGAAGAACATGAAATTGATGACTAGTAGTATGTGTAATTATTATATATTTCTACATATTTTTCCGTTTTTTCCCTCTCTCTTACCCCCACTTGCCATCAAATGCCACAAAAATAAAACTTAGCACTTTCTGTCGGTACTGGTTCTTGTTATGTCCTCCGCTCCACCAGGGGGCGAGAAACAGTGAGGCGCTATTAGCGTCATCTCAACATCCGCCTGTGAAAGTGACGAGTAAATATGACCGTTTCACGGTTGCCGTCTGCTGCACTTTCTTTAAAGCAGGTAAATATATATATATATGATATAAAATATCTACAGCAGTGGTAGGTGTAAAATTTAAAAAAGTTGAGTAGCTAACAGGCTAGCGTTATTAGTTCTCTGTACCCTACTACTAGCTAGTCCCAATGTACGCACGTCACCTAGCAAACATGGTGAAAAAGCACAACACCGGCGTCATGTTTTGGCCCAAAGTGTTCAGGGTACCCCGGCAAAAACGAAAGTCGACATTTTTGCCTTCTGTTTAGAAACCTTTTCACCTTTTATTTTGAAACTGTTTTTCAGCCGCTGCAAGACATCGTGAAAAAACGAGTCATTAAAGGTCCAAATCTTTGCTGGGATAGCATACTGTGGCATCAGTGGCCTTTTCTGAAGAGTCGTACAAAAATAACCCGTTCTTAGTGTTTAGTTTTTCCTTCTTGAAGAAAAAGTTATCGAACTTTGGAATAAACACACACAAACGTGTGTAAGGTTAAATTCCACAAAATGTCACAAATATCAGACACTGGACAGGCCATTAGGGAATACAGACATTGTCAAAACAAATGAAACGAGTAGATGGTAAGATATTTTTGTGAGAAAGAGCTGACCAATAAAATAAGAGCACAAAGTCATCTATCTAAAATATACCAAATGTTGAGATTATATAGTCTTCTTAGTTAAAATAGTATTTAGGAGTTCTGTAAAAACAATGTAGAAATGAAAATATTTACTCAATAGAAAATTACAAATGTCCTCTTCTTTCTATGTGTCGCAGAACAACAATTTAAAAATTTTGTGGTTACTTGGTGCAGGGATGTTGTTTTTAAGTATGTTGTTTCATACTTAGGTTAGAAGAGTCTCTAAGGAATCTGTACATATTATCACAGCAATACTGCATGTTTTTAAATAAGTTTCAAACTTTATTAACAGTGGCACTAAAAGCATTAAACCAGATTTGGTCCTAGCACAACCGCATATATTAAACTGTGTGCCCTAATAGCATATGTTTGTCTAAGTTTTTACACAGGCAGAATGTGTTGGGGATCTACAGAAACATACTGAGGACCATACGACGGGTGCCAGATGAGGCAGATAGGAAGTTCTTGAGAGACTGGGCCAGAGAGGAATTCCATAGGAACAAAAATGTCACACATGAGGTACACAGTTGTTGTTTTTTCACTTTTGTTTTACCAGGTCCACTAAAAGTCATTGTGTCATCAGATCAGAAGTTAGGTATAGGTAAAAGAAAATGAACAGTGAGCAGCATAGGAGTTTTTCCCCTCTTGGACTAAATGTGTCTGTCTGGTCAGTTCAGGATGCAATCCGTATGATGATCACACAAGCTTCCAATCACCTGGAGGAGCTGCAGAAGTCTCTGGCGTTGGCCCACAGTTAATGACTGCAAGCTGCTGGAGTTCCTGTTTTGTACTCTATTTGACTGGTTTTTAGTGAGGAATAATATTTGGTGTGGGAAATGT